TCGCTCATGCTTGAGCGGCAATAGTACCCGCGACCGGGTGCAATGACTACTGATTGGCGTCGCAAACAGCCGACCAATAGTATGCAATTTTAAGCAGAGATAGTAGCAGCAAAGCAACCAGTTGAAGGAAGCTGTTCCCAGAAAACCAGCACACGGCACCCCAGCAAGCGTTCACCACCAATGCACGAGAGCTAAGAACAAGTGATTAAAGCACGAGATGGATGAAATCCAACGCAGGTTCTCAATACGGCAATTTAGCAATGGCAATCGGTACCTGTATGTCAAGGCATCGACATCGACAGGAATGGCAGCACTGCTCGGTCTGGTTGTGCTTGAGCAGCTGGGGCGAGACGCCGGAATTCCTCCATGCGGAAACGAGACAGCGAATCGGCAATGCAGTTAGACTGGCCAGCAATGTGAGTAGCAGTGACGGTGAAATTGAAGCGGGCGCACACAAAGAACAGCTCCCTGATCAGGGTCATCACTGGCGGTGACTTGGATGTGTCGGAGCGGATGCAATCTACCACGGCCTTGTTGTCACAGTGCATTGTGATACGAAGCTGGCGCCATTCCTTGCCCCACGTGCAGCACGCTGTGACCAACGCCTAGAGCTCCTTCCACTCAATGCTGTGAGCGAGTTGCTCAGGCGACCAGGTCCCTTGAAGCCAGCGGCCGCTGTTGAATGCGCCCCAGCCCAGGGTGCCACTGGCATCAGTGAACAGCTCCAAGTCTGGAGATGGTGTCCAATCTGGGAACAGGAAGAATGATTTTCCGTTCCATTGTTCCAGGAGCCGTAGCCACCATTGGATATCTTCCTGGCACTCGGTAGTCAGACTGATGCGGTAGTGAGGCTGCTGGTAGCGACTGCAAATTGACCACAGGCGCCGCATAAATGTCCGGCCGGGTACGATGACTCTTGCAGCGAAGGAGAGTTTCCCCAGAAGAGATTCGAGTTCGCGCTGAGACATGGTGGGGTTGATGCTCGCTGCAGTCAACAGGCGCTTGATGTCAGCCAATTTGTCGTCAGGGAGCCGGGCTTCCATCTTCTCACAATCCAGGATAATGCCCAGGAATGTCAGGGTACGAGACGGGCCTTCCACCTTCGCAGGCGCGAGCGGGACTCCGAGGTATGAGAATGCACGGAGAAGAATGGCCAGCTGCCGATTTGCCACTGCCTGGCCCACGCTCACGCACAAGTAGTCGTCCAGGAAATGCAGCAAATTAGGGATGGAGAATTCGTGGTGCATTATCCATTCGATGGTGGCTGCCACGGCATCAAAAACCGCCGGGCTAGAGCGGAGCCCAAATGGCAAGACACGGTCGTAGTAGTACTTCCCCTGCCAAAGGATGCCGAGGAGATGCCAATCCTGTGGGCGGACAGGTATTTGACGGAAAGCGCTCTTCACGTCGAGTTTAGAGAGATAGGCAGGAGACGGGGAGGACATAATGATGTTAATGGCTTCATCAATGCTGATGTACTGCAAAGAGAAAGGCTCGGCAGGGATCCCGTCGTTAACGCTGGAGCCGGCAGGGCTGGACAGGTGGTGTATCAAGCGTAGCTTGCCATTCTTTTTCGGAACGGCGCCAATGCCAGAGCAGTACATAAATGGGAATGGGGGCGAGTCAAATGGGCCAGCCGTGTAGCCGGCGTTGCAGGAAGCGGTGAGCTGTGAAGACACAAATGCAGAGTGCTGGAATGCTGATGAGAGGTTGGACGAGTGCTGGTTAGTTATGCGGTTGCCGGTAAAGCCAATGTCAAAGCCGCAGCGGAGGCCGTTAATAACATACGAAGCCAATGAACTGTCAGGGTGGTTACGGAGCAGTGATTCGAAGCGAGAAACAGAGAGGGGTGTGTGGACAGCAGGACATGCGCTTGTGAAATCATTAGAACGTGAAGGGCAGGGAGAAATATGTACAATCGCGGGAGCTGCAGCCAAAGCAGCAGAGTTACTGGCGCCTACCGCACTTAGACCCGTTGTGGTCCTTGGACCCGCAGCGGTTGCAGACATGGGCGTACTTGCACGTGCTGAGACTGCAACGCCCAGCGTTGAAGTTCCGGCAGATCGGTTGGCCATTAGACACCGTACGGACTCCATTGAAGGCTTGCTGGTTGTTACGTTGCGGACGAAAGGGACACTGGCCGCCTCCGGGATGGACGAGGCGGCAGGACTCACATGTGGGCCTTGATCGGCTAGTCACGGACATTTGCCACAGATTGATGTCGATGACGTCAAAGCGCTTGCCTGGCTGAGCAGAAATGGCAGAGCGAAACTGGGTGTCGTACGACAGCCAAGCCTCCGGATAGTATTGCCTGTTGGCTGCAACAATGGTGGCTTGGTATGAGAGCATCTCCTGCAGGCGGGACGGGTTAGCAGAACACACAACGTTCATGAAGAGAGTCCATGCCTCCAGCCATGTCGGCAAGTCGTGGACGCGTCGACGAACGGGCTGGGCAGCTCCACCTTCCACCACCTCCAGAGACTGGCCGCCACTGCTGAACTGCAGCTGAAGCTGGCGTGGGGCAGAATACGAGGTGGCGATAGTATCGGGCAGCAGCTGGGTGAAATCTACAAAGTCACCCTTCAATATTTTCTCTCGTATAGTCTGGGGAACGGAGAGATTACCAGCGTTGGAAGACTCCGCCGAAGGCTGAGTTCCAGCGGATCCAGGGGCAGTGATGGTGGCCAGCATTGGAGCGATCGCCTCCGACAAGGCAACGGTGACGGCGGAATGTACTTCCTGCCGCACAAACTGGCGCAAATCGTCATTCCTGCTCCGGTCCGGGATCTGGGGAGTCGGAGAACCTGCTGCAACACTCTCCAGATCCTGCTCTTGCTCCTGCTCGTGCTCCTGCTGCAGGGATGGCGTGGCCGACAGGGATCGAGGTTCCCGTGCCGCCAAGCTCGACGTGTCCTGGATACTGAGCAGCAAACGGGCAAGAAGCTGGGGCTTTGTTCCGCTCGAATTCAGCCCACGGCCTTCCAACTCGGCCCGCAAGTCCGACACGTTCATACGACGTGCTTCAGAGGTAGACAACATGTTTGTCGTGCAGTAAACGGCTGCGAGGAAGCTACAAGGAGTCTGGATAATTAATTCTATTCTCCTCAAACAAATTCCGGTTGCTGCTCAGTGACACTGCAAAGGAAAGCGCAAGCCAAAGTCAGCGCAGCAAGAGCTACCCAAGGCGATTTGGGCGCGCATGCGCAGCAGTTGAGTGCACGTGTAAAGCCAGCTCAGTCGCAGCTAGCATGCGATAGAGAGCAGCGCATCGGTCTTATCGCTAACTAGGGTTAGCCCAAAAGCTAACCCAACATTTTGAATAACCATCCCTCATTTACATTGAATTAGACGGGAAAATGGGTTTTAAGATAACAAACTTACGTGTCTGTCCCAGTATGATGCCAGTGTTGACAGTGAGGCGGAGAGGTGGTGTAATGTATTTAGTTTTCGCCGTCGGTCCAGAGCCTGTGGTGACCTGGAAGACGACCTCGTAAACACCATACGTCAGAAAAGTAAGGGAGCTGGCATTCATGGAGATGGCTGTATATGTTGGCCGAGTACAAGTATCAGGAGGACTTGAACCATAGCAATCAGCATTGAAGATGCGATAATGAGCAGTAGGGGTAGGTGTGCCAGCGACCTTCCAGGTGGTTTGAGCAGTAAGAGGGCGAGTTGGAGAAGCAGCACTGCGGGCCACCATACCCTGCATCATGTAATTGCGCGAGTCCTTCATCATTGCGAGCAAGTTGTTCTGGGTCACCTCAGATTCATCTACAGAGGAGGGACAGGTTCGTATACACATGCACATACACATTATGTCTCCGTGATCTCCTTGATTTTTCCAAGTCGTTGCATGAAAGACTGCTTGCATCATTTGTCACTCCCGAGTCTGTACTTAGCACGCACACTCAGGATTCACATTAGTGCGTAGAAAAGCGAGGGTGCTTAACGGCCTCAAAAATGCCAGATGGACCAATCAGCAGTCAGCATTTCGTCGCATTTTCACTGGAAGAAGTTGATGTTTGAAGGAGCACGCATCACTACAGCAAGGTTCCACGAAGCTGAGACTTGAGGGCTGAAGTGCATGCTTTTGAAAGTTAACCAACAACTCCCTTGCACGGACACACAGGTACACGTTCACTGCCGACTCACCCTTTATGTAGACATTGAGAGGTGTTGTAGAGCCCACTGCAAACACAGCAACTATGACCTGTGTGGTAGCAAGGCCTGCTGGAATAGCGCTAGGATGATAAGTGGATGACAGCATCTGGTTGTACAGAGTGACAACTTCAGGAGTGTTGTTAGCAGCGATCATTGTAATCACCAGGTCGTATGAGGTTTGGTTATGAACATCGGTAAGAGCGATCAGCAAACTACCCAGCGCAGTGCCTGTTTAAACATAATTACACACATGTTGACACTGGGAAACTGAAATAATAGGATTTGCATGCAGAATGTCAAGTTCAGCGGAGAAGTGCCTTGGCATTATACATCTTTCTAGTACCCAGTAGCTCTACAGTTGTTACATGTGAATGGATTGGGTATGTTGCTTCGAAAAGCGTGTGTGTGTGTGCGTGTGTGTGTATGTGCGTGTCTGTGCAAATGTGCGTGAGTGGATGTGTGTGTGTCCAAATTGCGTGTGTGTGTGCAAATGCGCATGTGTGTTTGTGCGAGTGCGTGTGCAAATGTGCGAATGTGTGTGTGCAAATGTGCGAGTGCATGTGTGCAAATGTGCATGTTTTTTTTCTTTTTTTTTCTACAAAATCCACATATCTCCAGAGACTGGGGTGAATGATGGAGTGTGGTGGTGGGGCCCATTAAGCTTCGCCGACCAGAGGTCTCGGCTTCATAGCTCCATGGACGCACCAATGTGTGTGAATGTGTGCAAATGTGCATGTGCGAGTGCAAATGTGCGAGTAGTAGTAGTAGTGGTAGTGGTAGTGGTAGTGGTAGTGGTAGTGGTAGTGGTAGTGGTAGTGGTAGTGGTAGTGGTAGTGGTA